TGGCTTTTTCCTTCCATGTCTTTCAATACAGTGTTCTTCTTTTTCTGAAGGATTGTGAAATTTACTTTTGAAAACCGATTTTCCAGAAAGCAACTTAGGTCCGAAGCTTTCTGTTTTCTTGCCCTAGTCTTATCTGAAAGCCTTAGGTCCATTTCTCTCTACAAAGATCAGGGCAGTCTTGTGCTCAGGGACACTCTCCTCACTCATCAGATGTGGGGATGAAGTGTCTGAAGGTTGTATTCTCCACACATCCCTGTGTAGATGCCTCACCTGACACCATCACAATGTTAGGATTGGGGGATTGGGGGAGGTGGTTTGGTCAAGAGGGTGGGGCCAACATCAACAGGATTAGCACTGAGGAGACTGGAATTCCTCCTTTCTACTAGGTAAAGACAGTGGAAAAAAAAAAAAAAAAGGCTCAGGATGCAAGATGTGAAATCCACAAAGAATCAATAAAACGTTTTTGTTGTTGTTGTTGTTTTTTAAGGCATTGATAAACCAGGGAGGCAAAGGCTTTGAAAGCTGAGTGCTTGCAACTAGAAATTCTTTATCTCTGTGTTAGAGAAGTCCAGCCATGGGCTCTATGTTTGCCTAAGAAGATAGGAGTCGGGAGTTTTCTAGGGGGGAAAAAAGGGAAGGGACAAGAAAAAAAATCCATATATTTATTCCAGACCATGTACAGATGTTGGGTCTGAAGTCATACTTGTTGTGTGGCATAGAAATTTTAAGTGAAAAAAAATTAATGCAAAAACATGATCAGAGCAGATAAACCTGAGAGTCTATGAAGTCACTAGATAAGGGCGGTCATTAAGGTCATTAAAATTCTTTCCCAGGGGGAGATGGAAGCAACATCTATCCTAGATCCTTAGGTCCCAACAACAACAAGAGAGACACGGTTCTGGGACCAAAGTTCATTTTGGAAAAGCAATGGCTTTATTGGACTTCCTTCAGAGCATAGGTGAGGGGTCACTTAAGGGGTGTGGGTGCTATCTCAACAATAGTCCAAACCTGGAAAGCCTTTCCCAGCAGGGGTGAGGGCTTCCCCATAGCCACGTGGATAGAGGTCCACCTCTGCCCTTGGCCTATGTACTTGAGCCCCTCCCTGAGGTCTTGTACAATTAAGGAAGAGCTTCATAGAACAGGTTAAAGGTAGGGAGTGACTGGCTCCTTAGGGGAGAGCTTGTGACCCTCCCCAACTCTCAGTAAGGTGGTTGTAAACAGTCAACAAGCCCACCTGGGATGATCCTTTTGCAGTTGAACCCCCCCTCCCACCCATGGCGTTTGCTTGGCTCAGAGATAGTCATTCACAACAGGATACTGCCACAGTCAGGGTTTAGATACTTTCAGAAATCTGACCCAAAAAAAGGCCATGAAGATGACTCAAGCAGTAAGGGTGCTTGCCACTAAACCTGACAACCCGAGTTTGAACCCCAGAACCCACACAGTGGAAGAAAACTGACACCTGAAAGTTGTCCTCTGACCTCCACAAGCTTGTTACAGCACACATTCTTCCTTCCCAAATAAATAATTGAAAGAAGAAGGAAGGAAGGAGGGAAAGAGGAAGGGAGGGAGGAAGGAAGGGAGGATGAAGAAAGCCTGCAAAGATGAGTTTGCAATACATTTGCACACTGTGTGAAGAAATAAAGCACACATAGTTGGCAGTTGCAACAATTAGATTTTGTATCTTGAGAACTAGAAACTAGCATGTTTGAAATCTTTGAAGAGATAAACACTCCCTCCAGCCTTTAGGCAAGAGCTGAACAGTATGAAACCAGACAGGCTTGAAAGCATCTACAAAATAAACCCTTTTACACAGAAATTCTAGGAGAGATATAAATAATCATTGAAATAAAAGGAGCCCATAAATCAGAAATGGGAGAAAAAAATGAACCTGGCCTTTTTCAAGTGGTTTCTGCTCACGACATTCATTAGTCTTCTGCAAGCCAGGAGCTAGGCATTGTTATTCTTTTGTTTAAAAAGAAGAAAAGAGAAATATTGAGACGGACATAAGATTATAAGTTTATTATAAGGCCCGGTAGAATGGGGAGACTAAGAAGAGGAACAGGGTAATGGCTGACCGCCATGGCCGGTCGCCATAGAGAGACAGAGCGGGAAAACAGAGAGAGGGGACAGAGAGCAGGAACAGGGGGAGAGAGAGAGAGAGAGAGAGCAGGGGCCTATCTTTTAAAGGGGTCCTCTGCGCCTGCGTACAGACTTCTTTCCCATGGAACCTTGGGCTGACCAGGGTATTGCCTGAGTGGATTCCACCAGGTAACAGGGGCAGGCCAGCATAATGCCTGAACCTTTCATTCCCACCTCTACTTATTATTAAAAAAGGTGGGGTGTTTAGACATGGCAGGTTAAGGAATGAGGGCGTCGAATTCTTAAGACTGCTTCCTGCTGACGTGGGGGCGTTGACCATCTTTGGGGGACCCGAGAAGGTTGGGGTGCTGCCACGTCCTGGGGCAGCTGGTTGTCTCAT